GAAAATAATTTTATGGCCCTAAGTGGTTTGGCTCAGTGGCTAGAGCATCGGCATGCGGACTCAAGGGTCCCAGGTTTGATTCCGGTCAGGGGCATGTACCTTGGTTGCGGGCACATCCCCAATGGGGAGTGTACAGGAGGCAGCTGATCGATGTTTCTCTCTCATCGATGTTTCTAACTCTCTATCCCTCTCCCTTCCTCTCTGTAAAAAAAAATCAATAAAATATATTTTAAAAATAATAATAATTTTATGGTTGGGGGTCACCACAACATGAGGAACTGTATTAAAGGGTCACGGCATTAGGAAGGTTGAGAACCACTGCTCTGAGCCCTTCAATACTCCCCTAGAAGGTAGCAGTGCCAGGCTGCCAGGCCCCCTGACCCCCGGGCACTGTGTTAGCAAATCCAGGTGGAGATCCCTCCCAAGCTCTCCAGCAACCCACACCGGAGAGGGGCTGAAACTGGCCCATGGGGTGACCTCCCTCAGTCTTCCTCCCCGTCTTCCAGGCTGGTGACCTTAAAGGCCACCCCCTCCTTGGAGCAATCACCATTTTCCTGGATACCTTTCCCACCTGGCCAGGCTTAGGGAAGAGTTCTCAGGGTCAGCTGCTGGGCACGTGCCTGCCAGGGCCTCCCGTCCTCCCACTCTTTCCATAACCCCAGAAGCACTTGATTCCTCCAGATGCCCAGGTTGGGGGCAGCCTGGGATGCCCAGATGGTGGGAGCAATAGGGGTAGGGAGGCCAGTTTCATCCAGGACTGTGATTCTGTCGTCTATCCCCCCGGGCCCTAAATGAAGGAACGGCCTGCCGGCACACAGGCACGTACCAGGTTTTATCTCTGCGGAGGGGATGGCCCGAGGCAAGCCGCCTTGTACCAGCTGTATGATTTGGAGCAAAGCAAGTAAGTCCCTTCTCTGTTTTCTGACCTGAAAATGACGAGTGGGGAGTGTAGGGGGCCCCACTTCGCCAACAGAGCTCAACATCTACCTGCTCAAAGGCTGACTTTAATAGGCTGCAAGCAGGACAAGCACCCTTTGTTTTGGCAGGCCACAGACGAGGCTGCCAACGTGGGGCCTGCACAGAGCCCACCTCTTATCTAGCCAGGAAGTCCCCCAACCCCGGGCGCGACTTCTCTTTAGAGTTGGCACCTGCAGGCTGGGTCTGGGCATAGCTCCAGCTTGAGGCTGTTCGCTGAACACACATCAAAACCCCAGGTTAGGGGCGGGTGAGGGCCGGCGGGGGTGGGGACTTCCTGTCCTTACTGCTCATCATGGAGGTCTCCGTGAGAAACAGCAGTGGGTTTGAGAACAGCCAGGTCTACAGCTGGCAGCTACTGGAACGAGTTCCCACTCAGATAGGGTCTTTCTGTTGAATAAAAAGGAGGGGAGACCCCCCCCCCGCCCCGTCTGGGTTTTAGAGGGGAACTCCTATGAGTGAAGAGCTGGGACCTCACTAGCGAGCCCACGGCCCCACAGACAGCTCCCGGGGAGCCTGCGGAGCTCGGTCACCACGGAGGTCCCAGGCCGCCCGGTGTGGCCACTGCTTGTTCATCTGAGCGTCCGGCCAGGGAGTGATGTGTCCCCGAGGGCGTCCCCCGAGGATCAAGGGAGCAGGCCCCCTTCTCCTGCGGGGCAGAAACCAGAGCCAGAGCCGCCCCAGAGCCCGCCCTGCTGAGCCAAGAGGCGGCGAGAGCCATACGAAGTGCATTAACTATTAATAATTTCCAGTTGTTTGCTCGCTGGGTTCGGCGGCTCCCCGCGCCTCTGCAGGCGGCTCTGCTCTGGCTCCCCCAGACCGCCTGGCTGGAGGCATCGGCTC